TGACCCTCCCAGAGGCCATGCAACTTCTCTGTACAAAACCAGGTGCTGCTCAAACACTAGAGCTTCAGTTCTGTCTGAGGCACCAAAAAGAGATCTGACAGGCTCAGGAAAAGTTTTCTGAACACAGATGTGGAAACCCTACTCCATGCTTGCCTTCAGCCACCTTCCCACACTGACCAGGTCTCCCACTTCATTCCAACAGCATCAGATAACCTTCCCCAGCTGCAAACACATATTTGTGGTTTCCCATGGTAATTTTCTGGAACACAGAACACAGGGGATCATCTCAGTACCTTGGTGACAGTGTCCATGCCACCTGCACCTGCCTCAAAGTAGGGATAAGAGGGGAGGATGGGGGCAGCACTGCCTGCCTGCTGGGCTGCTCGGCAGAGGGAATAGTGAGACTCCACTGTCAGAGTTCAGAACCTGAATTTTGCTCACCATTTCCTTCATCAGGAAGCTTCAAACCCTCTTTGCTTCCTAGGAACAGTCTTCATTTTATTCCAGCTGTAGTTTTGGGGAGGCCCCCATGTTACACCAGTAAAACAAATATAAGTGCAAGCAATGTCAGCATTGGCACATTAATTTTGACAGGCTGCAGCAGTAGTGACAGAATAATGCAGGTTTTTTACATCTGCAACCAGCAGACCTAAAAGGACACCACTGTTTCCCCTCCTGACTACAATCATTGTGAGCCCAGAGGCAGCAGGAGTTACACCATGGGAGTGATGCATATGGCAAGCAGAGAGTTATGCAAACAGTTTTATAACCTGCTGAGGAGAGGGCGGAGGGGAACATGAACTTCTGCTCCAAATCAGACATCAGCTTCATTTTTTTTCTTGCTCTGTACACACTGTAACATAGCTACTCTGAAAATTCAGCACCTGGCCTCCTGCCTAAGTTTCAAGCAGTTAACTTTGTGTACAAGATGGGAAAGTAAGAAACACATCCATGAAACATCAGTGTCTTGTCATCATACTGACTGTATCTCCTCTGCTTTGTGCTCTTACTCCTGTTCTTGGGTACATATCACATACCTTTTGTTATTGTACAATGATCATAGAATCATCAGTCCTGGAGGAGACCTCTAAGATCATCGAGTCCAACCATTAACCTGTGACTCTGCTTTAACCCCTAAACCCTAAACTCTATCCTCCAGAGTCAGATCCAGACACCTCTTCCAGGGATGGTGACTCCACCACCTCCCTGGGCAACCTATTCCAGTGCCTGACCACTCTAACAGGGAAAACATTTTTCCTAACATCTAATCTGAAACTCCCTGTCTCAGTTTATGACCATTCCTTGTGAAGTTTAGGAGAACAATTATCTTTTCTGCAATGAGAAAAGCAGAGAGAGCCTAAAGACATCTCCTGTGCTGTGTCTGACTCCAGAGAAGAAAGCAGAAAGAAAACAGCAAGAGAAACAGAAACAAAGAAATTGACAACCATAAAGCTCCTACAGAAGCAG